ATCATATCAAACACTTCCTCATTTAAAAATAGAAGACACAGTACTTTTTGGACAAAACGTATGGCAATATTTAAAAAATCAATATGGTTTTGAAAATATAACAGACTCGAGAACAAAAGAAATTATTGTAATGAATGCTGTATCATCAACGTTTATGGAATTATTAGGTGGAAAACAAACAAGAAAGAAAGATACAATTAAAAGTGTTAAATTAATGATTTTTGAAAGTATAAAACCTTTTAATAAAATTGGATTTCAACAATTTGCTGAATCATTAATTAATGTAGTGTCTTCAATTGTCAATAATAATAAATGTAAAAGACAACAAACCGTACATTTACAAGCTTATGATGAAAGAATTATTGAAATATTTAAAGTTATATCTTCTAATCAAGATAATCTTGATGACAATGGACCAGAAATTGTTAACATGATACTCAAACAAGTAGAAACTATTTACCAGACTGATGCCATTGAAGACCAATTCTTTAATCCTATAATTCAACAACCAATGGATATAGTTAATTATGAAATTGTTAATGAAATAGCTTTTTGGTATTATCAACAATTATTTGAAGAAAAATGTTATGAATATATTGAAGGATTAGCCGAATGCATCAAAGGTCATGCTGAGTATATTGATTCAATATATTGTATTAATCTCCCTGGGTTATCAAGTTTGTTCTTTAGTTAACTTTATTAAAACCATCTTAAAAAAAAAAGAATTAATTATTTATATATTAGAAAGTGTTGGTTTAAATCATGTTAATGAAAGTTTACAGTGCATTTCAAATGAGCTTGAAACTATTTCAGAACGTTTTCGTTTTTGTCATTACGAATGTCATAATCTCATCGAAAGGTTAAATACTCTTATAATCAATCAATCAAAACAAGATGCATCAAAGATTAGAAGTGAGTTACAGTATCATGGACCATTACATCTTCATTCAATAATACAATCATTCCAAAGAATGTTTTCTGAATGTGATCTTCAAATTAGTGCAAATAGAGATATGCTAAAGGTTGTTGCGAATGCACAACAACAAAAATTATTAAATGATATCAGAGAGTTAACTGGAAATGAAAATAATCGTTACTTGAAAAAAAGTCTTAAAGAAATCTTAAAAGAAGAACAAAAAACCAAAGACCAATTACCAAATCAAATAGAAAGTATTTTTTTGTATATAATTAATTCATGTTGTGAAAAAGAGTTCATTATGAATAAAGCCAATGACCAAGAAAAGGATTATGCTAAAGAAGTGTTATTAAGAATAGACCAAATAGAAATTGAAGGATTACCACCAAATGTAATTTGTGAATGCCTTAAAATGTTCCTAAAACAATTACCAGATTCTTTGATTAATGCAGAGTTGACAAATACAATTATACAAGAATGGAATAGTCTTGGACAACCAAACGAATATTCAACACATAATAAACCTATTCGACACATGATCAATTTGTGTAGTAAAGAATCAATAACATTTCTTACAGCTTTACTTAAGGTGTGTTGTAAAATAGAATCACTGTCTGATGTAAACAAAATGAATGAACAAACTTTAGCAGATAACCTTTACTCATGTATATTTTCAATGAATTCCCTCTCAACAAAACTAATAAAATCTGAACAAAATCAAATAGAACAATTAAAGAAAGAATCAACATTAAAAGAAATTATTGTTTTTCTTATTAAAGAATTTCAACATCTTTTCCCTGAAAATGTTAGTGATATTACAACAATGCGTTCTCAAATGAAACAAATGAAGATTGATAACTGTTTTGGAACTATCCAACGTGTTGTCGAGAAAGCAGATGTAAAGAAACGAGGAACAAATATTTCTATACTAAATGATAATGAAACAAAAACTCCTCTAGTCAAACCCAAACCACTGTTAGCAGAAATTCAAGAATTTTTAAGAAAAAAAGGAATAGGGAAACAATAAGAATACTTTTGTAATCAATTTTAAGCTAAGAACCTTTTTTTAATTTGTTATTAGTTATTAATAAATAAAGAATTAATTACTACTGATCTACCCCAGTTAACAATGGTTGTTTTTCATCTTTTCTATGTATCCACCAATCTTTAATATATCTATAATAATAATACTGGGTTATAACAACTAAAGACATTGGAATAACAAAAAATGAACCAATAATATATGCTAATTTTGCTTCATAAAATGTTGGATCAGTAAGGTCAATACCAGAAATAAAAAGAGATAATGAATAAAAAATATTAGCTATCGTTGCCATTATAAATAACAAAATAGATAATCCATCAACATTCTTGGTTCTATAAATATGAATTATCTGTGGAATTCTTCCAAAGAAATATAATAATCCAGAAATCCATGCAGAGACATCCCCTATTATCCGTTCTAAGAGAGAATAATCCTTTTCTCCACAATAAGGAAGATCATTTGATTCTTCTGAACTACTCATAAAATATTCTTGTGCAAAAACATATAAAAGTGTCATTAACACAATAATAAATCTACTATTACTAACTTGACTATAACCATTGAAATCTTCTTCATCAACTATTGCATTATCAGAAATGTTATCTGGAGGAGTTGTAATTGACGAGTCAGAACTAAGTATTTGATAATCCCCTTTATCTATAAAAAGTTAGTTTAAATACCAGAAAATAAAAGAAGAATTTCTCAAAATAAAAAACAAACTATATTTCTTCCTACATATTAATAAATACCATGCATATTGAGACAGCATAATGATGTCAATTAAAACAAAATAAATAGATGTTAATAATTGTACTTGTGTTTGGTCTGTAAAAATACAACCTAATAAATTTGTTATATCACCCCCTAACCACATTACAAGAAAGGTTATTGATAATGATTCAGGTTTTTTGGTTTTAAAGGTTTTATATAGTTGTGGGAATTGAGCACACATCCAAAAGCAAATATTAATTAATCCAAATATATATGAAGTAACATCAAGACCATCATAAAAACAATTATGGGTATACTTTCTAAAAATCTCAATTGCCTCAGTACCATTTTCAATGGGGCATATACAAGCCATGTAGTAATAAAGAAGGACTTATTTTTTTTAAGTTTTCTTTATAATTTTTTTGACAGTTTGTTAAGTAAACAATTTATTGAGTATATCAGAATTATTTCGAAGAGTAAAGAATTTGAAGGAATTGTCAAAAAATGAAAATTAAAAACATTATTTCATTAATTATGTTATTGAACGATTTTTAAATTCAAGAATATTGTATTTTTAGAACTTTTTAAATTGATAAAAATATCATTTAAAGAAATAAATACATATTTTAATTATTTTATCCTTTTTGAATTTAATTCTTTAGCAGTAATCTTTTTAATTCTCCCAAATGAACGAATAGGTTCCCGATCAAATTGTTTTAATTCATATCTAATTCCTTCATGTTTTGTATAACCTTTCTCTACTTCTTTTGTAGACATATTTGTTACAACTCTACGAAGCATCTGAAGAGTTTTTTCCATTTCTTCTTCTGACATACATTCTTTGTAATGAGAAGCATTAACCAGTTGTTCTTTTAAATACATAAATTGACTTTTAAGGTTTGGAAAACATGAATATTTACAGAGCAATAAATTGAGTTGTTTAACTCTCTTTTCAATAATGGTTTTTGCTTTACTTTCAAATTCTCTTTTAACTGCATCAGAAATATTACCAGAACTACTATAACTAGTGTTAGACATGTGTTTTATCTTTCTAAAGAATAGAGATCTCACAATGGAAATGTTATAAATTCTCTTTCTATAATTTTATCTAAGAAAAGAATATCATGATAATAGAAAATCTCATAAAAGAACTTCTTTCTTTGTTTTTACTTGTCATTTTTCCTTTCAGAATTTCTAAATCATTCTTTAGAACTTTCTTTTTTTTTTTTCTCATTGAAGTTTAAATTATTATATTTTATAATAAATTAATTATTAAATATATTATTTAGTATTTTTGTTGTTTATTCTCAATAAGTTACCATAATTTTCAATGTTATTTATTATTTATTAATATGTTGTTATTAAGGAAATAATAATTGCGTTAAGCTAAAGATTAAGGGAAAATTACAAGGTTGTACCTAATTATCTAATAGCTAAATGTTATTAATTCATTAAATTGGTTACTTGATTTAGATCAAGTAATTTCCCCGAATTAAAATATTTTTTTAAGTCAATCTTATTTTTTTCACTTAATGTCTGAAAAGTTCTTTCATTTGAATAAATTAGAATTAACTCCTTCCTTAATGAAGGAAAAAGACACAATTTCGTTACATGACCTCTTTAATACTCCAGTTTGTTTTTTTATTAAAAGTATTTTAAAATTAACTATTAATTATTTATTAGGGAGAAATCTATTCAGTAGTACTTACAACATTTGTTTTTGATCTTCAATGGCTATTTAACGAATTACCAATATTAACAAGGGTTCCTGTTCAATTCATCCATAATGGAAATCTCAGTTGTTTTGATCAATTACTCATTCAACAATATAAAGACTTCCAAACATTCCCCATTCCTTTAAAAAAAGGTTGTCATCACGTCAAAATTATGATAATGTTATATGAAGGTGGTCTCCGTTTTGTTTTATCAACAGCGAATCTTATTCCAATTGATTACAATCTCAAATCTCAAGGGATATATGTCAAAGACTTTAAACCCTCTGAATCATCAACAGTCCTCAACGAAAAAGGAACTCATTTCTTAACAACACTACAAAATTATTTAGCTTCAGTTAACGTCACAGTTTCATATCTTTCTGATTTTGATTATTCTACTATTGATGGATGGTTATTATTATCAATTCCAGGGATTCATAAGGGTAATGACTTAAATAAGTATGGAATGAAACAAGTACATGACATCCTTAATATGAAGCTCCATGTTCAATTTAATAACCATTGTACCATCGCTGCGCAAGCATCTTCTTTAGGACTCTTTACTAGTCAATATAGAAGAGAACTTTCTCTCTGTTTAACAAACCAACCCGAATCAAAATTTCAGATTATATGGCCAACAGAAGATTTTATTCGTACTAGTGAAACAGGATACCATGGAAGTTGTTCATTCTTTCTAAGAAGTAATTTTGTAAAAACATGGGAAAATTACTTTTATAAATTTCTTCCTCCATTTCCAAGACATCTTATTCAACCTCATATTAAAGTTTGTTATGAATTTATTTAATTTGTTAACACTATTTTTATTTACCCATAGACGTATGTCATTTATGAAGAAGATATTCCTAAGTATGGTATTTTAACATCTTCAAATATCTCTGGTGCTGCCTGGGGAAAACCAACAAATTCAACATTAGAAATTAATAACTATGAAATAGGAATGTTATTCATTGACAATTTCACATTAGCTAGATTTCCATTGCCATATGACTCTAAACAATCAACACGATATTCTTCAACTGATATTCCATGGATTTGTGATGTAGACCATGAAGTAGTTGATGTGGATGGTTATATAATAAAAAATAATAACTTTATCAAATTGGTAAATAAAGAAACTTAAAACGACTCCATAGAAAAAAAAAAGGAAACTTATAATTCATTTTGAAAACTCATTTATGTCAACTGAACTCAACAATTTAATAATTAAAAACCAAAATAGCTTAAATGAGGTAAAAGAAAAAGCAATTGAATTAGATGAAAGGATGAATAAATGTGATGAAAAAATTCAACAACTTTATTCGATGTATTATTTAGATCAATCATATTTTGACCAACAAAATTCAACAACAAATTAATAAATTAATTTTTCATTCAAATTTCTTTTTAAAAATTTTCAAGAATTTTAAATAATTTAATTAATTTTATTACTCAATCAAAATAAATTCA